AAGTGCATTCAGACTTAATATTGGCTCCAGATGTACTTGAAACAAATGTTTGCTTTACTTTTTGTGATCCGTTGCATCACTGCCTACTTCCCTATTAATTTTTCTTGATTTTCTGGAACAAAAATAAAGAAAAACCAAAACATTTTACAACCGTTTAATCCTAGGATGAATTCGGTCACAAACTGTACCTAKAATATGTGTGTTCTTTTACCACAGGTGCCCATTTTTTTTCGTTTGTGAGCTGGCGGTTTCTAGGAGCTTTAGTTTTGGGTTCATTGCATCTGAAGCCCCCTTTTCTCCAACCTTTGTGGCCGATTCATCCCCGGGTGAATTTGGTCACAAGATCTACCTAAAACATGTATTTTCCTTGACCTTCAAATCTCTGTTTTTTGTCGTTTTTGTCCCAACTGCATCTAGACTTGATGCAGGTTTGTTCAAGGCACTAAGACATCCTTTGTGAAGGGGCTAGTGAACCATGATATGGCGGCTTGTCTGTTTTTCACTCTCACACTTTCCTGCCTCTCTCATTCTCCCTCTAGTTTTTTTTTTCATTACCTTTGCTGACTGTTTTATTCTATATCACACTAGGACCTCATTTTTAAGGTCTAGTGTATCTGGGCGCTCCAAAAATAAGGCCCTTGTGATCCGTTGCATCCCCCTTGGGTCCCTTCGCAATTTCAAGCCCTAGAATTTCCAAATTTGAGACTCTCTCTCGTATTTTTTAGCCCCTTTAACGACCATTTCGTCAAAATGAACATTTTTTATTTTTTGAACGAAATTGAAACTGAGTTTTTTCAACTTTTTTGCCCGATAACTCGTCTAAATTTTGCTGCACCTGAGGGTCCGGCGTTTTTAAAACGCTGGACCCCTTGGATGTATCATGACTAAGCTTGAGACGAGATACATCCAGGGGAGATTCAATGTGTTGTKGACACTTTCATTCTGATCATTCTAGGTTTGGAACGACGWCGTTTTGTTTYTGTTTACCCATTCTTTTCTGGGTCCTTGTGATTACAGGAAATACTGTCTTTCTTGGTTCTTTCTCAAAATTCTCTCAAACTATCTYTTTCTTCGTTCGTTGGTTTTTTTCCTTAGTCCAATCCACATTTTTGTGGCCTGGCGGCGCTTTCTTCCTTCGTCTCTGCGTCCKATTGACCTCGGGTCTCATCTTGGGTTTCTGATCCCGACATTCTAAGTTCCGTTTTGGGACTCTGAGCAYMAGTGGTMTCRCCTTAGTCATTTGTTTGCCCTTTTYATTGTCCCTTGTCTCCCTCTTCTGGATTTCTCTATCGTGCACGTCCTTGTCATATAACCTGTCTCAAGACCGGGACTCAATCCGAGAACCAAAKGTTCCAACATCGTACAACTTGAGTTACAGGGCAGTGCGACCAAACCCTAGCGGCGACCAGTGTTGTTCTAGTATTGTTCGTTCGCAAACCGTTGGGACCAAAGAGATCATCAAATACCAGATAAGCCACCAATCATCACCATGGTTGTAGTTCCGATCCTCCAACTCCTTCAGACGCTAGTTGCAGTCATCCAACAAAATCCTCTCAACCCTAATGGGCCAAGACTTGCCGCTATGGAGCCACCATCTCCACCATGGTTGTGCCATATTTCTGCCGTACAGGCTGACCCCTCACCACAAGGCGCATTATCCTATGTGTCTGATTTTCGATTCAATGCGGGTTTCACGTTGAATTATTCAACGTGCGTTGAATTCACGTCGAATCCTGTTTAAACGCGCGTTAGACACGAATAAACGGGGTCCACAATTATTTTTTTCCCTGGTCTAAACATAATATAAAAAAACAAAAAAATATATGGGGTTGTAGGCCTTTTCGAGGACTACAACCCTATATTTTTATTTTTATGTTTTGATATTTGAGCATCTTTAAAAAAATTCAAAAACATAAACACACTTAAAAAAACAAAAACAAAAAGTGAAACGAGTTTTTTTTTTTGGGGTTTCACAAAGATTTTTTAAGGGCTAAAAAAAAGAGAGGAACAAATAAAAAATATAGGGTTGTAGATCTTTCAAAGGTGTAGAACAACATATTTTTTTTGTTTTTTTTTTTAACTTCGTGTATTTTAAAAAACAATAAAAACCATTAAAAACTTAGGATCCTGTTCATGGCCTGTTCTCAGGATCCTGTGTGCGTGAAAACTTTCAGCAAGTAGCCATGGCCTGTTCTTAAACAACAAAACATAGGGTTTACTGTGTGCGCGAAAGCTTTCAGCAAGTAGCCATGGCCTGTTCTTAGGATCCTGTTCATGGCCTAAAATTCGTACTTGAAAAAGTAAACATTGCACCAAATAGGTGAGCAAGGTAATCCCATCGGGATTCCATTCCTTTGTTCCTAGGCGGCATTGCCAAACTGGATAGCATTATTTTTGCCAACCAGTCATTCATTTCCACGATCTGGTCAAAAGACAGAATCTGATACGAGGACGCCCTTGCAACCCATCGACATACCATTTTTCCTTTATTGTTGTTTTTTTATCCCAATATAAGATGATGAATTCTTTCTTTCCCTGTGCCTGAGGGCGATACGTACAAAAAATCGTACATCATTCACCAGACCATGCTCAGAATCGTTAGTGGGTATGGTCTCAAAACATCTAATKATGTCAGCAGAGAATACCGAAAACACATTTTCGGGGAGGTTCGCGCAAAATTCCGCAGCCGACTCAATTGGCCACCARAGGTTAGCATCCAGACCATGAACGTTCCTTATAAGCTTCTTTTTTTCCAGACGGTGTGCCTGGACCTCGCAACTTAACAAGGAAAGAATATCTGCGCATAAATCAGCCAATGGTGAAAAAATACAACTCGCAGCGTTAGTGAGCCTATGAAACGTGTTGTTATGTTCCTTGAATATGCAMATTAGATACGGAAGCTTGCTTGGTCCCGGGATGGTGCTTGGACATAGCTCGAGCATGCGTGATTGAGCCTCATGCAACACCTCTGCCGGAGAAGCGTCTATTATCTGGAAGTCYGGCCTGGAAAGCCTCTGCAGGACAAGCCTTCTGACCAGGTTCTTGCAGATGATCGTTGGAGTGTGCGGGGCTTTGTTAGTRCCACAGATGTAGAATTTGCTCGTCAAGAATTGCGCCTCCCTTTTGAGGTGAAAAAGATCCACCATCGGTAAGGGAACATGTCTCTTCCTCCTGATACAGGATTGGAAACAACTCTTAGCCCGGAGCAGCACCTGCGAATGCACTCTAGCTGCTTGCTCCTCTGATAACGCAGCAAGTTCCTCGACATCCCTTCTGAGTACATCCCATGCAAGGGAAAGCTGGCCAAGCGCCTTCTTCACCTCCAATGGTTTGAGAGGGATGTGATTTAATCCAACCCAAKCATATSTCTGCCCGAAGGGGACKAGGAAACCCGTGGATCAAGAGTGAGCACATRGGTCTGCTTCTAGGCTGGATYGTCAACCATACACTGAGYACSTATSCGGTGGAATGGCCRGAATYTGGGCGTGGCACATGRGCATCGTTCAGCTCTGGTAGACWGCTGCCAGGAGCATAGCTCGAAGTCCCTGAAGACTTCCGCCGGCTTGTAGAAACAAGCGGCGATCTTCTCATCATACTTCCAGCTAAAGACCACCCCCWYGAGCGAGCCCAGAGCCTGCGCGGATACATCAGCAATAGCTCCCGAAAARARTCTCSTKATRTTCACTGCCTCGAASAKRSG